AAGTTAAAAAGATTGGGAAGACATGGAGAGAGCTGCATGCGATAGAGAAGGACAGAACGACTTGGCGTGAGTCGGTTGAGGGCCTATGCTCCATTAGGGGTTGGAAAGGCAGAAGAAGAAGGTCATGGTGCCCTGGAGCAAACGGTGGTGGGGGCGCAAGGGGTGGCTACAAGTTTCCGGAAAGCAACGCAGAAGCAGACCTAAGCGAACGTGGACACAAGACACTGGGGATCTACTGTCCATAAAGTCACAAGGTTGAGAATTGACTACAGACAGAGACCTTCAGGCGGGCCTGAGGAGGGCGTGCTAAAAACGACATGCTGCTTCACTGACGATGAGTTTGCCACTGCTTTCTCAAAGCTCGACGCTGATACCATTGCCGAAATCGCCGCAAAGCGGTCTGCTATTAAAAAAATCAGTTAAAAGATGGCCTAATTCATACTTCTTTCTGTACATCCATTTCGCTTGTGGGTCCAGTGCACCATTATTGAGAGAGAGAGAGAAGAAAAAAAGGAACAGACCCATTCCCCACATCCAACATGTCATACAAGGGATGTTTCCTTCCTGAGAGGTAAGGAACCAACAGTCTTATTAGAAATAAACCAGATCTATACATTAAAAAAAAAAAAGTGAAAGCAAAACTCAATTTCTGGACCAAGAATTAAGACCAAAAGAGGACGAACAAACTAAACTTTCCGCTGTAAAATACTCGTTGAATGTTCGTCAAAGTCCACATTTGCATTGCCATTAGAGGTTTCCCCAACATGCTAATGATCCATGAAACGTTATTCTGGTCTCGTCGGCGAAAAAAGGCAACACTGGGCACAGAACTGCCGCTGAGCATGCCGGGGAATAATGAAAACACTAGAATGGAATAATACACCAGGGGATCTTTGACGAGGCAAAAAGTCTGCTCCCAGAATAGATAGAGGATTCGAGTTGAATTGCGTCTGTGACACGGGCAATAGAGGGTCGTGGCAAAGGTTTCATAAACCACCGCCTTCTCTAGAAATAGTTCCAGGAGGTCGTGCATAAACAAACTTGTTAAATATGTGCCATCGAACTCCAATCTCCTCCCACCTTTCTTCCTTCTCTCTGCCTCCCCCTGCTTTCTCTTTCGCCCCCACCACCCCTTTTCGCCCTCACTGTCTTGATTGGTGACCCCATATCTCACCCTCTCTCAATCTCTTTCAGCATCCCTTCTGTATTACTAACTCCTGTTCTCTCCCTCTCTTCCACAGAACATTAAAGAATCAAATGGTTTAGTCACGTGGTCAGAATCAAATAAATCAGAAAGCAACTAGAGTGTAGTATATGAGAACAGCAGGCTTCAAGTCAAGAGGCCGACCAAGAAAGAGATGGGTGTGGAGAGTATTAGAGACACTACAGAAATGCAATATGACTTTAACACAAGCTTTGTTATTAGCAACAGACAGGAAACTACATCTAGCTCCTCTCTGGGACACTTCACGGCACAAGCGGAGGGACAGAAGAAGAAGAAAAAGGGGCAGCAGGAAGAAGAAGAAGAAAAGAAGAAGAAGACTAAGAAAAAGCGCAAGCGGAAAAAAAGGAGGAGTAGGAAAAGTAAGAGGAGACACTCAACAAGTATGATGGTGGAAACACGACTGAGAAAGTGTGAGAAGTACTAGACCCACAAATCGCAAAAAATGAATCCACTTACCCAAGTCGATATTGGGACGGCACAAAGTAACTCCCTCATGTTGAAATGCTGCACTTACATAAGAAAAAAAAACTCTTCCACCACTAATCAAAATTAAAACTGTTAACACAACTCTACTAATTCCTGGACTGTTCATACAAAATCTTTTTCAACTTTTAACACAACTTGTGTACTTGTTCGACAACTTCTCACATAACTAGATATTCCACGAGCTTTAACACAACTTCCTATTCCGAAACTTCACCAATCCACAACCACATCTGATTCAACGGCATACCTTATATACCACCGGAAGCGTTATGATACAAGTTCGAATGTCAACCTGCATGTGACAATACCGCCTAAGTTAATCTAGCCAGCCAACAATAAGTGAATGTTCTCATACCGGCGACTACTGAAATAGCCCAACTTGTGTTTCTGCCCATCTGGGTCTCGTTAAGCTGACCATGTAACAATGGAGCTTTTCTTGGTCAGTAGGGCCGTTGACGGTCATGTATCCTGGGGGTGCATTCCACCCTCTTGCTTGTGTGCCCAAACAAATAGGCATTGGATAATACAGCAGCCTAATCAGTAATATAAAAATCGCGTCACAGTGAACGAGAGAGCCTAATAAACACGTGAATGTGTGCCAAGACGGGGCACACACTGGCAGAGACCTATCTACATCTCTCAGCGGTCTAACCTAGAAACAGATTCCCAAAGAAGACAGAATCGACTGTTCCTTCGAAGTTTTTGCGCATCCACCTAAAAGCAAAGAACCAACAGTCTGCAGAAAAAAATAAGCCGATCTGTAAAACGACTGTGCACGAGACACTCAAG